GGTAATCATATATGTTTTAAATTATGATCTTCAGATTCTTTTTAAGACAAATGGAGGGTAAGAACATCGAACCTTTGACCTTAAGAAAAAGTTAAGTATCTTAAGCTGAAGTTGAGTTAATTAAAACACAAGAAGCTAATCTTTATATTAAATACAATAAAACATAAACAAGAAAAAAAAGGCGAAATGTAAATTTAGGTTTTGAAAATATAAATTGGTTTAGTTATTTGATTTAAAATTTGGTAGCTTTAAATGACTTTATGCAAATGCAATCAATTTTTTTTTAATTTCATTTTATTCTCTAAATTTTCAAAATATATATTTCAGTTTCTGTACTTTAAAAAAATCACTATATCCTTACTATTATTTTTTCACCTAATATTTGGTTAGACTATACCTCCCTCAACCAACTTTTATAAATCCAGTACATGGTCACATTATTATATATAAAAAAAACATTATTATAAGGGTTAATTAAACACATGCTTGAAGTTATGCATGAATGAAAAATGGCTATTTATTCAGGACTAAAATAGATACCTTAAATTTTCAATGATCAAGATAGATAAACTTACAAATTCGGAGTAAAAGTTCATAAATAAAAACGCAAAACAATCTTTTTCAAATTCAAGGATTAAAATGAGATTTTTTTTTAACAGGATCAAAATGAGATTTAAAATAAAAACCTATGAATAATAACATAAACTTTTATAGAAAAAAAAAAGAAAGAAATATCATGATAGGATGTCGTAAAAAGACTAAAAAATGTTAAATTACAAATTTAGTCCCCAAATTAAAAAATAAATAAATTACATCTATAAACTTTTAAACTATTCTAATGATTAAATCTCTTTGTCATTTACCTCCATACTTAAATCTTGACATGACACTTTGATTAGACAGTAATTAATAACATAGTACAACGTCGCACGACACTGAGTTATATAAGAGAATAAGCCAACTGGATATAATATATAAGAGCCAACATGAGAGCATAATACTTAGTGATTAAGACATCTTATTCTTTCTCTAGATGTCAAAAGCTCACATGAGTTGTACTAAAAACACAGATACCATACGAGTAGAACCATTAATAACTCACATTAGTCAAAGGAAAAAAAGTTACAATCGAAGCAGAAGAACAAAAAATGGTATGAAAAAATGAAGGAAGAAATAACAACATTTGGAAGTGAAAAGTGAAAAAGGAAAATGATGGAGATTTTAGTTGCATGGTTTGAAAGAGACTGTTGAATGAAAAGAATGGGAATGAGAGAGGCAGTGGCAGAGAAAAAGAGTGTAAAATTTCAGGTGGGTTTGAGGAACTGACAAATGCGTGCGCCCATGGCTGACCACCCTCTGCAAACCCACCTTCCAAAATTCTCATCAAACAACTACTTTTTGCCAAACCCCAAAAAAAAATTTACATTCGCAAGGTCGATTCAAGCACAGCTTAGTGGATGAAGTACGTGTTTTTATCTCTTGGGGTCGATGTTTCCAACGAAAATTTCTGGTACTATGAGAGTATAAATTCTTTTTTTATTTACTGTCTCTGTCGTGTTAGCATCTTATTAAAAATGATTTGTCTGATCTAAGAGAAAGTTTGTGCTATATTTGAAAATTTTAAAAACATGTAGGTGAAATATTTTGAAATAGTCATTTGGACTAATGAGCCATCCATGATGGTTATAATCTACTTACCTACTAAATATAATAGAGATATACAAACCAATAAAAATACGGCACATTTATTAGTATGAGCTACTATTGACCACCATGTAAAAAGGTATCTTTGTATTTTATTTCCAAATTAGGAGATTAGTTCGTTGAATAGTTACATTTTAGAATATTGTTATCCAAATTTTGTAAAAGAGAATAGTGTTAAAATGGGGGATATTCTATGAAAGTAATTTTAATAAAAATAAAAATAAAAATTTTAAACTTATTTTATGAATATTGTTTTTTTATATTAGAACCACAATAATAATTAATTTTATTGTGATTATATTTTTCTTTTTATAACTATCGACCCAAGGAATTAAATCTTCAACCTCAATAAATGTAAATGATGTATTGTTTATTGAGTTATATTCAAATTAGTGCTTCCTTCGATACATTTCTTCCATACGAGTCATTTAGGTGTGCTTAGCCCTCCAATTCAGCTCCACTTTGGACCTGATGGATTGATTTATCATGAATAGAGTGTTTGCTTCACTTGGGCGTTGCTCATGCGGCTTATTGGAGTCTGGATGCGTGTCACCTTAAATCTGTTAAGGATCTCACATTGGAAAGATAACCTTATAAAAGTTTATAATAGACATAAGTAACTCCTCCTATTGTCAATTAGTTTTGATATCAAACTGCATGAATATTCATGTGATATTAAGGCCCAAAAACTCAAAATAGCATTTGGCCTAAAAATGGGATTCTTAGGTTGGATCCCACAAAGATTTATAATTTCATAATAGACACGTGACTATATCTTAATCGGTTAAAGTATATATTCTCTTTAAAAAAGTCGTGAATTCGAATCTACATCTCCGCATATTGTATCAAAATATATATATATATATATACACAATACAAACTAGTCACTATAATACTCATCAATATAACAACATTAAAAAATTTTATATGATGGAAATATCGTCATGTCGAGGTAAATAATATAATACGTCGATCACAACATAACATAAATATAGGGGATGAATTACTAAATTCTTCCTTTTTTCTTTCACGAGGTTTACTTTTTAGCATTTTTTCCCTTTTCTTGCGTTTTTGTTTCTCTTTTGTTCTTTTAATATAAAGTCACTTTTTAGTGTTTCCCTTTTTTATATTTCTATATTTGGATTTAAATACTATTTTAGTTCTTAATCCTACTTTCAGTTTTTGTTGATTTCAGTCCATATAATTCTAAAAATGTATACTTATAAAAATTTATTCGGATGTCTATACTTTTAAAAAGTGATCATTTTAGTCTCTTATTGTTATTGCAAAATTTTAATGCAACCTATATACACAATAAAAATCTTTTAACTAATACAAAAGTTATTACCACATTTCAAGAAAGTTATTAAGTGTACTATGTGTTGAAGTTGGGATAAAAAACAAAAAGATTAAAAAAAATGGTCAAAGCGGTCACTTTTTTAATCTTCAAATGACTGCTAAAGCTATAGGGACGTTTTTAAACTTCAATGACTTATTAGACATAAAATTGAAAGCTTAAAGATCTATTACATATTTTCTATAAATCAAACTTATAATTTAACCAATAATTTAAAAAAAAATTTAAAAAAAAAATAAAGAGAGACATTCTTTTTATATAAAATGTTTAGGGACCAACCACAAAATGTGATAAAATCAACCTGAAAGTTTACAAACCAGATTTAAACTAAATAATAACAATACTTCAATTCACCTCGTTTGATAATCGTTTCATTTTCAATTTTCTCTCTTCAAAAATTATGTTTCGCTTCCTCACAAATTTTTAGTTTATTTTCAACTTCCTTAAATACATCATTTAAATTATTAGCCAAATTTAGAAACCAAAATAAATTTTTAAACTACTTTTTTAAAATTTTAAAATTTTGGTTTAAAATTTTGATTTTCAATTTTAAAAAAGGAGAGAAAAAGTTTAAAATGGTGTTGTTTATACTTTAATGATTATAACATTGTGTGCTTCATTTGAAGTCCAATTGTCTTGATTCCATTTGCCATTATTATATCTTCTTGCTAAGTAACCCTTTTATCCTTAACCTATCATTTTCCAATTTGTTCATATGTCAAAATAGCAACCTAACAATTAGAGCTTAATTATTCATGAAGGGCCCCACTGAGAAAGGCCTTATATTAAAAAGTCTATGCCATTATTACCCTTGTTTGCCATTACAAGCTACCCACATTGGTAAAGATTTTTGTTTCTAACTAGCTAATAATATTTTGGTACAAAACTCATTGGAATAGCATATGATTCTGTGAAAAAAGTCACCTAAATCATTCCTCCTTTTTCTCCCTTTTTTTTTCTTTTTCTAATCTCATTTTATCATTGGATACTCTCTTTTTCAAGGAATTGAAAAAAAAAAACAAACAAACAAACAAGATTGTATATGGCATTAGAATCATTTAGCTCAAGAAATTTTGTATTTGAAGATGGATGAATCTACCTACTACTTTTGGATGGTGCCCCACAAGCACCGACTTCAACATTTCATCTACAAACAACAAAAATTCAAAGGAGACAAGAGTATGTTAAAAAAATAATAATAAATAAAATAAAAAATAGTATAAGAGTTGTTATTGTATTAAACATAATCTAGTGGCTTATTTATAAGAGGTTTGGTGAAATGGTGAAACTTTAATCTACCGTCTTTTTAAACAAGTTATTAATGTATTGATCGGTTACTCCAATCACTAAATATACATTTAAAATCACTATTCAAAACTCTAAAAATTAGAAAAGAATAACTACTAGTTCTAAAAGACTAAGCATCTACTTCTTCTTTCGAGATAGGAGGTTTAAATSTTCACCCACATTTGTTAAGTTTAAAAATAATAAAATAAATAAATATGTGAGACTAAACTAAAGAAATAATTTAACAAAGGTAATGCATCAGAAAGAGAACCGGAAAAAACTCAATTGATCGAGGGTATTACTTACCTCTCTAAAGGTTGAAGGCTTAAATTGTCTCACACCATGTTGAACTAAAAGATATATAAAAACAAAAAAGGTTTAAATACTTATATTTTGGTCTTTGTACTTTCGTCTTTGGTTCATTTGAGTTTCTCTATCAAGGTACGTTCTTTTTATCAATGTCGGATCCTTAACATTCTCTACTTTCAAAACGTTCGTTTTGGTTCCTATACTTTCAAATTTTATTAATTTTAGTCATGTAAATAGCTATTACTTTCGTTTTGTTGATTTTTCTCTTTTTCTTTCTTTTTTATAGTACTTCTTGAACACAATAAGAAGTCCACTAAAAGAATAGTAGATTACAAGACAGGCAGAAACCAAAACAGCCCATTTTGGGGCAAACTGATTCATTATTTTGCAGTGATAACTCACTGTTTCTACAAAGAATCAAGTAGTATACAACTCTCTAATCCCTTGCTATTCTCATAACCTCATACATAAACTAAATGAAGCTTGCTAGCCATAGATACTAATTCTAGATATTTGTCATTACGAGATCGTATGGCCGAACCCTCCAAACTCTTCCGAAAATGCTACTCTTGCTTCGGGTCTTCACGAGCAGCGGGACGCCTCTCTGCTAGTAATCGCTTTGTGCTTTCAAGGACGCCGAAGAAGATAGAACCACCGATGCCTATCCATAGCACTCGGGGTCCAATGCCCTGCAATAACTAAATATATGAACACAAATTTTCAAGTAGATGGCTCTTTCCTCATTAGGGTCACCTAAACATCACAACCTCTATACTTTGAAGTCAAAGAGATCACGGAGAGAGGGCGTTTCCATTTTATTTTGATCCCTAAAGTTTAATCTCGATATTTCATAACTGATAAAGGATCTAACATATTGGCATATAAGAAGATTATGGACTTAAAGAGTGTATTTGACATACTTGTGGAGGACTGAAAGTATTTTTTTAAAATTGGTATTGTTTAGTCAAAATTTTAAAGGGGTAAAAAGTACTTTTTACCTTTTCTAGAATTTTTGATATTCAAAAGTAGTTTAAGAAATTTTAAAAATAGATGAGAAAAACACTTGAAGTGCTTTTAAATAAAGAATTTGATTAGTTTTCCTCCAAAAATGCTTACGAAAAAGGCGTTTTGCTTAAAAATGATTTTAAAAAATACCTTCCACATTTTCTTCCTAAGTAAACAAGAACAAGGCACAGTCATGAGACTAATACATTCATACATTATCTCTAAGTAAGTAGGGAATGTATTTGATGTAAAAACGGCGTTTTATTAAAAACTAATAATTTAAAGCTCTTCAATGATTTTCAAGAAACACTAGAGTAGAGAAAAAACAATTACATATAATTCAAACTTTTTAGGTTCAAAAGTGAGTAAACATAAGTTTAATATAATTATTTGAACGGTGAAAAGTGTTTTTAGCGTATTAAAAATTCTTTTCAAAATCTTCATAGTGTGTAGTTACATGCTCAGAGGTGATTTTGAAAATTCTAAAAACACTTGAAACATAGAAACTCAATTAATGCTTCTTCCAAAAGCATTTTTCACTTAAAAAGCACAGGGTCATCCCAAAGTCACTCTAAAAAGCCATACCTTCAAAAGAGCTTTAGGTCCTTCCTCCTTGACAATCGTTTGAACACAATCAAGAATTCCATTATACTGGTTTGCAGATCCCTATATAATCAGGCGGAAAAAATGAGATACAAGAAAATAGACGACTTTTAGATTGGATCTGACATTATAAAAATGAAAATGGAAACAAATTTGTATGATTGACAACTGTTAAGAAAAAGTAAAATCAAAATATACAGCAAAGAAAATTATCTTACTTGAACCATTAATCTTGTCTTAATGACATCAAGGGGAGTGGTTATAGCACCGGTTAATGCCCCTATGCAATCAAAATTAAGCATATGAAATTTTGTAATTTGTAGAGCCAATAAATCATTCAGAAATTGGAGACTGGTACCAAGGTCAATATCAGTAAATGAATCATTCATGCTAATGAAGTAGATGACTAATTGAAGAAGAAATGCCAATGGTTCATGTGCACATTGTTGGGGAATAAAAACATTTTGTATGGATGCTTGTTCTATAGTTTGGTTTATGAGCTCTTTTGCTAAATGAGCTGCATTATGTGGCCTCAGTCTTGTTGACTTTGGCCAGTTCTTCGTCCATTTATTTGGGCCTATCTCGTGCTTTGACAGATAGGGAAACTTTGGAAGTGTCGGCCTTACTTTTGTCACTAAGGGATGCCAACGTTTGCCAAGGGAGGAGGCTCATTCATTTTTGGTCCCCAAATCTAGTGGGAGGGATCCAAGTCTATACACCACAGAAGCCTTCAACACTAAGCCGGGATCCAAGTCTATAACGATTACTCGCGGACCATGGAGGAATATTTACAAACAGAGGCGCCTTATCTTTGACAGAATTGCTTCCAAAGTTAGAAATGGGGCCTCTACATCCTTTTGGTATGACCCTGGCTGACTGATTCCCCATGCCTTTAGCTTTCCCTGGCCTATTCTCCCTATCCCTCGGAAAACAGCCTCTGTAAAGAGATATGGAACTCAAACCTCCATTTTTGGGATTTGGGTACAGGCGCTTTCTCAAAGAGGAGGAAATTACAGAATGGGCAACACTTTCTAGTCAACAAGAATCCACCCACCTCCTTGATGGGGAGGACTCTTGGGTTTGGCCATTAGACAGAAATGGTTCCTTCTCCATCATTTCTCTTCTCACTGACATGGCTCCAAATAGATCTCTCATGCACTCATCTCTTACCAAAGCCATTTGGAAAGATCTATACCCAAAAAGAACCAAGTTCTTCATTTGGGAACTTGCCCATAAGGGTATCAACACATCGGATAGACTGCAGCGAAGACTACCCTTCATGGTCCTGTCCCCACAGTGGTGCATCCTCTGCAAAAAAAGATGGGGAATCGCCCTCCCATCTTTTTCATACTTGCTCTCTGGCCATGGATTTTTGGAACCTGATCCTCCAAGCTTTTGAATGGACAGTAGCTCTCCCCATTGACATCCAAGATCTTCTCACATCTGTTCTAGTGGGCCACCCATTCAAGAAAGCCAAAGGAATTATGTGGAAACACTTCATGCGAGCCTTTCTATGGACTTTTTGGAATGAAAGAAATCAGACTCTTTCTAGACAAAGAGATGCCTTTCATCAGTATTTTTGACAACATTACTTTTCATGCTATGTCTTGGTGTAAAACATCCCCCTATTTTCATTCATATAGTATGAACTTTCTGTTAACCAATTGGAGAAGTTTCCTGTAGCTCCATTGTGGGTTCCCCTTTCTTTGTAATTTCATCCATCAATGAAATTGTTTCTTATCAAAAAAATAATAATAATAAAATAATAAAAAAAATCTAGCGGGAGGGTTTGTTTGTGTCTCTTGTTTCCACCCTTTTATGTTCTCCCTTGACCTCCCCTACTACCCACTCGTTCTCTTTGCTTTGGAAGGTTAATGCCAAAAAAAAAAAATCAAATTCTTTGCTTGGTAAGTCATGCATGGGAAAGTTAATACTCCGGACCGTATTCAAATTTAGCCTCTTTTTGGGACCACAGTGGTGTTCCCTTTGTAGAGATGCGACTGAGGACCTCGACCATATCCTTTGGACTTGTCAGTTCGCTCAATCAATCATGGTCTGTTTCCTAAATCCTTTTGGTGTCTAATGGCACATGGTAGAGTCTGTCGGGCAATGGTATAGGTGGTGTTATTTCCTCCCTTATGTGACAAAGGATGGGTTTTCTTTCCTATTTTGTGGAGTATTTGCCTTGAGCTAAATAACAGAATTTTGACAGGGCCTGACGGGTCCTAGGAGGAGGTTTAAGATGTCATTAGATTTAATACTTCCCTTTCGGCATATGTGGTTTTTGTAATTATCCGTTAGGTGTTATACCTTTGTATTAGAGCCTCTTATCCCATACTTTTGATTGGAGCTTTTTTCTGTAGGTGTGAGTTCCTCTTGGTGGGCAGTTTTTGTATGTCTAACTTTTGTTTACCCTTTGTATCCTTTCAATTTCTTTTTAATGAAAGCGTGGTTTCTTAAAAATAATAATAATAATCATTAAAAAACATAGGTGAATGACAGTATTACCTGCAAAAGCTCCAATAACGGCATTTTCAGGATCATTCAAATCTCGCTTTGCCTGTAGGAAAATAGGTCACATCAATAGTAGCTGCCACCAAGTAAGAGTTGACATTTTCAATTTAGATTTTTGGCCCCTTTTATTAACCAAGGACAAATAAACTGCACCCATAACATCTGTGACAATAATTTGCTTAAATTTCTAATTATTAGAGAAAGAGAGAGGTTTAGGCCACCACGGGATTTTATGGAACATTTGCAGTCAGTGAAATGGTGAGACTTTCGAACTCATGCACCATAGTTACTCCAATGGAAAAACTCGAACGAATGTTGTACAGTGAAATTACAACATTAATTACAACATAATCAGACAAAAGCTTACCGCCAACTTGTAACCTATTCGTAGTTGCTCATAAATGCAAAATTGGATTGCGTCGAATGGCAAATCTCTCAATAGAAAAGATCCATATCCCTACAATGTGATAACCAAGGGAAGTTACAAGCAAAACTTCATTAGCATTTTCAAAAACTTCAGAAAATTGAAAAGGGTCATTACTAAATTCAACATGTCCATCAAAAAGAATGTTTCTATAATATGTGACTATGTCATTGTCATAGGGCTTCAAGAGCATTGCACCTAATCAGAAACTCATTTCTTAGAATGAAAAATTCAAACATTGTTAGTCTGCATCTCATGGCTTAGAGTATCACACATGTATAAAAACTACTCACTTTATCATCTGCAAAAAGAAATGGAAAGACCTTCAGCCGATACCCTTAGACTGAAGAATGGAATTTAATAAAACGTAAATATCAATTAAGTCATTTACGATTGTAAATCCAATGAAAAAGAGATTTAAGATCCAAATTTGTTCCGCTGCTGCAGAACTCAATTTAATATCTTTTTGTTTCTTCAGCTCCTTCATTGAATTCTAACTGGAATCTTTACTTTAGAAGGTTTTCCTTTCAGAACTAGATTTTTTAGTATTACTCTAGGATTAGAAGAGAACTCTAGAATAAAGCAACTGAAAGTAGGGAACGATCTCCCGTCAATCTCTGAGATTAGCAAACTACCTAGAGTCAAGAAATCAAACTGCCAGTAACCAGTCCTTGAATTACGTCCAACTCTTCTTCACATCCTTTGCTTGGCTTTTTTTTTTCTTAACAAGAAACAAACTTTTCATTGATAATATGAAAAGGAAGAAAAAAGTTCAAGAATACAAGCTTCCAAAGGAAGCGAAAAAAGAATAAGAAAAACAACCAAAACATAGAAACCAAAATACAATGAAATAGATGAGAACTGAAACCCGAGAACAGACGCTAAAAAACTCTCATCAATAAAGCTTGCCAATTCAAAAGGACTGACTGAGGAGGAAACCAAAACAATCACTTAACCCAAACTGACCACCAGAATGAAGAAGTAAAGAATCTGAAACCTCCCTCCACCGAGAGAAGACAAGAAAACTACGAGATCTCAACCCTCAAAACTGTTGCAAAGCAGAACCAACCAAAAACCTATTGCTCATAATTAAAGCCTACCTATTCAGTGATTGAACTAGGGTAATGCCTACACCTTCAAAATATTTTTAAAAACTTTGATTATCAGCGCAAGAAGCTTTTCGACTACCAAAGGCTGCTCCCGAGAAGAAGAAAGAAAGGGATCCAATTTTTCAGAAGAGATAATTGGTCGTTATCCTCTACAAAAAGTAAATTAAAATCCTCTGTGAAGGAAACCTCTAATAAATCTTCATTAAAAACCTCACTCTTCCAAAAATTCTACTGAATCCTCACAACTGACACTAACATTGAAATTTGAATTATTCTTCATCATCAAACAAAATGTTATCCTTGAATGTTTATTTGACTGCTCACTTGTTGTGATGTTGAATTAATGATATCATGGTTGAGAGGTGAATCGTCCTTCTGGAACCCTCCTCTTTCCTTTATTAACCTCAGCGAGTAAATCTTTTATCTCGAATAAAATAATGGCAGGGGAGGAATAAAAGTCCTAGGCAGGAGTAAATAAAGGTTAAAACTAAGGTTGCCATCAACCAGATCGTCAGTTGTCTTAGTTACCTTAACACCTTCCAAAGGTTGAGATTCTTTTCTTAGTTCATTTCCTTGATCAGACATAAATTTTGGTGAAATTGACCTTGAAACAGAACCACCCTTACAAAGTTCTCTTTCCATTATAGCCTTGTAAAGGAAGAGACACTTAGTTCTCCTTGGTGAATGATGTGCAAATGCGACTTAAAACTTTTTAGATATTTTTACCCTTCATTCTCAATTTGCTAAGGTTTGAGTTTTGGCTTCTTTTTCTTTGGTTCAATCACAAAACCTTAATTTAGTTTCTTTCAGTAAAAATTTTAGATGAATGAATAGAATTTCTTCGTTTGTTAGTTTATGAAGTTGATGGAAACTCTTCTTCTAATTTTGTTTCTCCATTCCCCTTCAATTCTTCAGTATCTACTCTTCATTTATGAAGTTTACATTTCCAATTGAAATTAATAAATAAATATGAACACGTTAGAAACGTCTAAAGTCGTTATAGAGAAAAGAGGATGGTTACACACTGCATAGAGTCCTTTAAAACCTTCTTTTGCTGCAATTAGGCGGACCGCATCTGGGGCTGATGCAAATTGTCCAGTTTGCATCCGTTGTTTAACAACCTAAGTAACAAATTTTGGTCAATAAAAAAAATCGATGGAAATATATTTGCATGCGCGTGCATTTTATTTACCTCCGTTGGAACGCGAATAAGGGAAGCAGCAATACCTCCTACTGCACCAGCCATCTGCAATATGAAGCAACTAAAACTAAATTATTTTTGCAAGTGTAAGACCTATAATTAAGTAATCAAGTAGAAGACTATAGTAAAAGGAACATCATCCTCATTTCAGTGGTGATGTAAAAGAAGATTTAGATCAATTACAGGAACAGCCGAACAGGAAAAAGATTAACTATGTCTAACCCAGAGAGAATTCCATGGGATGTCTGACATAAAACTTATAACATATGAGATCGTTCACCAAAACAAAAGTAGTTGAAATTCTGTTGTTCTGCACTACTAAGAACTACAGCGTGAAATAATAACCTAACAAGACTATTCAGTTTGACGTGTTGCCTAGTTAAATAAATCATGTCAATTGTAGGATATTGTTGGCCCTTACAAAATGAGCTATTGCACTGAGGTTTTCAGGAAAAGTCCTAAGCAATTTCTGCTTGGTAGGTTCGTACACGCCAACAAATACAGCAGAAGCCCTGCACACAGAGAATAATTATTTAATAACTAAACCCAAGCACCAAGAAATTAAAATACCAAAAACTTTTTAAGGGCGTGGCGTTGTATGAAAATTGATAAACCCGTTCAAGCCATCAGGTGTAGCCAGGAAAAGAAAGTATAATCATATGTTTCCAATATTATCCTGCAAATTTTTTCTGACAACACTAGGTGAATAACAGTGAATGTATAAATGCTTTCTTATGGAACTCTTCAGAAAAGAAAGAAGGTATTAATGTAGGATTGGGATCCGGGTTGAAATACGAGAAGCTCCAAACGAATACCTGCACACACAATAACACTGGTGTGGTGCTAAGCCCAACACACTCCAATGCCTAAGTCATACATTAGTTAAGTTGAGCGTGGTAAGAAAGTAAGGTTGTGTCACATACCTCGCACATTCCTCGTATTTGTAGAGGGAACCATCTTGGGCCTTAGACAATATCAAATCACCCTTGATTTTCGACACTGATCTCATAATCAAGGTGATTCTAATATATTAGGGTCGGCTCTTAGGTGGTCTAATCACCTTGGCTCGACTTGGGCTAATCGGCTCAACTGGGTCGAGTCAGTCTTGGTCAGGTCGGGTCTTGATCGAGTTGGGCCTAGTTGAGTGAATCTCATACGATAATTATGCCCATAACAGTGGCTCCCACTCTCTGGATTGTGGGTGGCGAAACGAGTCAACCCACTCCTAAGAGTCTTGTCAGTGTGTTCCTCGACCATCAAATTCAGAATCGCGAAACTTTTCATATGGTCTTAATTTAGATTACCTGAGGTTTTTTTCTCTTTTTTTTTTGGGTTGGGTACATTGGCATCCAGACCCTACCCAGTAGAATCAGTCCGCCCCAGCCAAGTCAAGGTGATTACACCACCTAATAGCTGGCCCTAACATATTATAATCACTTTGATAGGCGGTCARAGCCAAAAATCAAGGGCAATCTTGTCTACCGCTCAAGGTGACTTCATGTATAAAAAGGAAGAGAGATCCTGTGCCTGAGGTATGTGACACAACCCTACTTTATTGTTTTTTGCAACTTCTTTTTATATGAAACAATGATTTTATTGATGAAGGAAATTTACAAAAAAATAGTCCCCGATTGCTAGTCTCGACTTAACCCATTGTTTGACTTAAAAATTAGATTGTGTTAGGCTTAGCACCACACCGATGTGCATAGTTCATTGTGTGTACAGGTGTTCRTTCAAAGCTTCTCGTATGGCAACCCAGATCCAAGAAGCAGTAGCTCACAAATCAACAAAATTTAAGCAATTTCATTTTCTTTCCTGGCCCTTACTATTTTCAATCTTAAACACACACACACAAGATTTTAAGATATATTTAAGATAAAAAGCACTAAGGAGATGAAAAGTTTTTGAAACCCGAAGACATGGTGTAATAGCTGGTCAGGGATTTTAAAAAAAAAAAACATAACGGTATCACCCGCTGAGTCCTGATATCCACAGTACACTTATTGGACTAGAAATTCGCATGATACTGAAAATGATCTGTGGTGGTGATGAAAATCTAAAGACACAAATGAAACGTGCCCAAGGAGTAAAAGTGATTGTTTGTTGTTCCCAAATGAAGAATTATCATCTTGGTTGCTGAATCATTAACATAAAATGTAAGTCGTAACAATGATGTGAATTCTATAATAATAACTCATAGCTTAAAATCTTAGAAGATACTTGGAACTAATACCCTCTAGAAGGTACTTACGGCAACACACCAGCAATATTTCCACCCAAACCAGCGTAAAGCCCCTTCAATACTATCTGTCCTCCTCCACGCACAGCCTGTAATAAAATTCCAGGGGGAAAAATCAGCAGCTATTCTAAAAGATTATGATACAAAAAATAAAATTATCATCAACCAAGGACAATTTCCGTTTGACCTAGATCTAAATGCCCACGCAATCAATATCATAGATTTATCCACACCTTCACCATCTCAAAATAATTAAATAACAACAACAATAATAATATACAAACAAACAGAAAAGGAAAAGGAAAACAAGCCAAAAGAACAAACAGAAGAGGTTCAAATCTCTTGTGCCATAGAGTATTGGTGAAATTTTCATTCAGAGATTGGCGAGGAATTCATTCCTAGAAAGGTTACAGCCAAACAAAAAAGCCTAAAAGATGGTGTCCCAACTCTGAAAAGGAAGAATCAAACAAAAGCCCTCAAATCAAAATTAATAGTGAAAGTATTGTAGTTCTAAAACAACTTGTGATGGACACTCCAGTTTGAGGCCATGAACTATACAATATGATAAAAACAAAAAAAATAATAAAAAAAGGTAAAAAAAAAAAACTCTAAAGAAATAGCCTTATCTGTGACTATTCTCGTGCCTGCAACTATCTTAAAAGTCAGAATTCGTTTATTTGTTTATTATTTGTTTTAGAAATAATGCTTGAAAGCAAGTAACTATCTATCTGATATGACTTTATAATCCCTATTGCACATCCGTTGAATCATTGCATATCTATTTTGTAAGGTTGCATGCCTGTAGCCGTGTCTTTATTGTATCAATGGGGTATAAAGCTGTCTCAACAACCACACCCGCTGTACCTCCTGCTATGACACCCTCTGCAAAATTCACAAATTTTATTAACAAATCTGAAACTGCATGTGTTAAAGATCTGCTATCACTCAGCAATTACTCTGGCTTGTAGAGCACAAGCCCATCTGCTATCCCTAATGTGTTGCCAAGCATCATCCTCATTTTCATTCTCATCATAGTGTCTCTTCTATTATAGGATTCTAAGTAAGCAAATTATCAGATTTTACTTTCTGAAACTAATCCTACAACAGAAATCAGAAATGTTCAAGTGTGTTAAAATTACACAGTATTAAAAATTAATTCCAACACTCTAACTAGTGACTCTGTTATGTGAGCTTAGCTCAACGGTAATTGGCAACTACCTCTAACCAAGAGGTCATGAGTTCGAAACTCCCCACCCCCACTTGTATACAAAAATAAAAATAAAAAACTCTAATTAGTTTCTCTGCTATGTGAGGAGAACTAGTAAAAACTGGACGCACCATCCATATCATTGCTCAAAATAAGACTTATTTGAGTTTGGTCAAATACCAAGACAGATAAAGTAATAATGAGGGTCTAAATTAATAATTTTTCATATTCCATGAGGCATGAGTACAATATAGCACAATTCAGCAAGAAAACGGGATTTTACAAGTCATCTTAATCAACACTTTCATCTGACTTCAAGGCAATTCGACATAACTTTCTTCTCGTTGTTCCCTACTTTAAATCTTGTAAAATTACATGCTTCAAATTAAAAATATTAATTTTTTCAACAAAATCATCATACTAATAGATTCAAAATTTTAAAGCATTACACTTGATAAGAAAAAAAATAACAAATAGAAAAATAGAAGAAATTGACTATGAGACCATGTTCAACCTACACTCAATTTTATAACACAAATTTCCTTCAGAAAGAGAAGTTCTAACTTACCAAATACAGTACGCAGAAAATCAAATGGCTTTTCTTCCTTCATGCTGACGGATGCAAATACTTTTCTTGAATCAACTGCAGGTAATTTCAACTTCCTACCAGATGCATCTATAAAAAGAAAAACATGCTCCGAAAATTCAACATACCTTATAGCAGAAAATAGTTACTGCAGAGGTGTAAAAGCGAGTTAAAGGCCTAAATGGAGAAACTTATGTGCATTATTTAATTCCTGATAAGATCCTATCACTTGAAAATATTAAGAATAGAAAACTCTAATATCACCATAGGAAGAAAAAAATAGTCTGATCAATGATAAACTATAATCCAAAGCTTGCTTGCAGATGAATCATGTTGTGATGATAATCTAATATCTAAAAGAAAAATCATTCACTAAAATATTAAGAAAAAATGAATGAAGCTGTAAACAGGTTGATACAAGACAATGGGAGATTATTTAGATCCAAATCAGTTTTCAAGTTAACTACATCTCAAAGAAGTCTAGTTAATGCAATGACCCAATAATTCAATGGCCTTCTCACCATTAGAGGCTGGGTCTCTTATCTTGCTTTGTTTTACAATTAATCAACAAGTAAGCGACGAGGAAACCAATATTTGGATTTCAGAATACACGACAATCACATAAGAAGGTAAAAACAAAGGAAAAATGAAGTCATCTTCCATATGTTGTTTGACCCAAAAAAAACAAATAAAATAGAATAAAATCTTTATTAGCCTTAAAAAATGTGAATTCAGAATATTTGCAATAAATGCTAACTCCAAAAGAAAGTAGCCCAAAAAAGGACAATGTAAGCTAAGTGCACATTAGAAATTGTTGTTGGGACAATGGTCCCATATTTACATCTACAATGGAAAACTTACTTCTAAACTTTTTTTTTTTTTTTGGGTAAGAAACTTGAGAAATATATTGAAAACAAAAAAGACTTTTTTTTCTTTTATCAGAAACCGAGCAGGTTTCATTGAGAATAAATGAAAGAATATTCAAGAACATACAAAAAACAAACCCATCTAAAAGAATTACACCTAACTAGTAATTACGAAAGGCCTTAGAAACCGACACCCACAAAGAGGTATTAAATCTACCAAGCTCCCAAATTTCCTCCCAAGACCTCTCAACCCCCCTAAACATTCTACTATTCCTCTCAATCCAAATACCCAACAAAATAGCAAAAAAAACAAATATGTCATAACAGGATTCCTCCATCCCGAAAAGGGGGAAACAACAATACCTCCTCCATCGTTGCCCTACGATCCCTATTACCTGCCAAAGAGACCCAAAAATCCTCCAAGAACCAACCCTAAATAAACTGCACAAACTGACAACTCCACAGAATATGGTCAAGGTCCTCCGAAGTATTTTTGCAAAGGACATACCACTGGACTCAACAAAAAAGAAGAACGTCTCTAAATACAGTCCATGGTATTAACTTTTCCACGCTAAACTTGCCCAGCAAAGAACTTGGTCTTCTTCAAAAATTTTACCTTCTAGAGCAAGGTGAGCAATGAGGCATTAGGGGGAGTGACTGAACACTCAAAAGATTAAACAAAAAACTACCAGTGAATCCCTCCCAACAGATTGAAAACAAAAGAGATCAACAGCCTAACTCCCAAAGAGCTGTACATCGTTACAAAAAWAAATAAATAAATAAAAAAAGAAGTAGATCTATCTTCAACATTCTCTTGTTTCTCTCCAGGCTTCCAGCCATAAGTTCCACAAAACAAGAGCTTTGCCTTTGAAATACCAGCCCTTAAAGGCTTCAATTTACTTCTAAACTCAACCCAAAAGAAACTAATACTAATTGAAATATTATACTTATACACACACCCAAATCTTCCTATTTCTAACTGATGTGATCCAATGTTTGCATCCCAACATATTGCTAACTCAAAAGCCTCACATTTCATAAAAGAAGTCATAAACCTACATACCAGACAAACTAATGCAGCAAAGCAAAAGCAAAAGCTCAACCAGAAACCCAGACCAAATTCCGACACAACTGCTCAACATAATATCAACATTTCTCAACAGAACAAAAGCCATGCACAAGTTAAAGAACCGAGAAACAAATTGCAGCCCAGAAGTTGCAGAGCGAAACGGGAAGGAGAAATTGAAAGCAACTACTGAAGCAAAAATGCCAAAATCTGAGAAGAATCGAATGGTGAAGTAGCGAAGAAACATCAACCAAATACATTTACATGCACAAACTTAATCTTAGAAAGAAAAAATAACCTGAAGAAGCCAAGGAGGAGCTTTTCGCGTCCATGGCTGGCTACTGTAATAGCCTGCTCTGTCCTGTAAAATGCTGCGCAATCCGACCCCCATCCGAAGATTGTATAAATTTAACATTTTTTTTGTTTTGTCAAATTGTAAAATATTTATTAAATTAATTATTCAATCTGTGGAGGATATTGTTTGTGTATTTTACTGATTGGATAAAAAAATAAGAGAAAAGTTTAACCCTTTTTTCTCAAAATTGCAAAACATTTATTAAATTGTCGAATCTGTGGAGGATATTGTTTGTGTATTAATAAGAGAAGAAAAAAATTATACATATAATATATTATATTTTAGGCTAAATATACAATTTAGTCTCTAATATTTTGATTTTTTTTTCAATTAATTATTTCTATTGTTAAAAATCAAATTGATTCATGTCTCAAAAAAAAATCAATTTGATAATTTAATTCTATCGTTTTTGTACTGTTCACGTTAACCAAATATTAAAATTTGCCTCATAAATATAGGTGACGTGATATTTAGTGGTTTGGTAAAATTTTAGAGATCGGTCACATAAAAAAGAGTATTATGAATTTTTAAATTAAATAGATGCCCACTAATCCTTGCTTAGTGTCCAATTTTGAGGTGTCTCAAAATCCATGGTCCATATGTCTCTATGTGTCTTTTATTCATAACCTCATATGTTCCATTATACCATGTGTTGAAACCCTAATGCCCCATGTGTTTCAATTTTAGACATTATTAGTGTCATATAAATCACACCACATGCTTATCCATGGCCTATAAATAAGGTCAATGTGGTGCTCATTGTTAGTGAGAGTTGGTGAGAAATTAGTGTTGAGAAATTAGTGAGAAATTTGGTGAGAAATCAAGTTTGAAAATTGGTGGGAAATGTCATTTTGAATTTTCTTTATTATTTGAATTGTTTTGTTTATTTTATTTCTCCGATGTTGCCTCGTTTCGTTCCTCAATTTTACAACACGTTATCAACACGAGTCTCTGTCATTTCTCCTGTTGAAGGTAGGTTCCGAAGGTAGGTAATTTAATTTTTATTTTTCAAGTAATATGTTGTTTTCATATGCTAAATCCCTAATTTGAGTATTTTTTTTGTGATAGTGTCACCATGACAAATTTGACCAAATTAGAATTTGCCGCTCTTGATATCAATGGCAATAATTATTTGTCATGGGTACTAGATGCTGAAATCCATCTTGATGCCATGAACCTGGGAGAAACCATCAAAGAAAAAAATACAACCACAAGTCAGGAAAAGGCAAAAGCCATGATTTTCCTTTTTCACCATCTTCACGAGGGGTTGAAAATGGAGTATCTGACAATAAAAGACTCCCTTGCCTTGTGGCAAAATTTGAAAGAAAGATATGATCATCAAAAAACAGTTATTCTTCCTAAAGCTCGTTATGAATGGATGCATTTGAGGCTCCAAGACTTCAAATCAATAAGTGATTATAATTCTTCACTATTCAAAATCAGTTCGAAATTGAAGTTATGTGGAGAAAAAATTACTGATAGTGATATGCTAGAAAAGACATACTCAACCTTTCATGTCTCGAATATACTCTTGCAACAACAATATCGAGAGAAAGGTTTTAAGAAATATTCTGAGCTCATATCATGGCTTCTGGTTGCTGAGCAAAATAATGAGCTATTGATGAAAAATCATGAATCTCGACCAACGGGAGCAATGCCATTCCCAGAGGCGAATGCTGTAAATTTCAATAATCGTGGTCAAGGTCGAGGGCGTGACCGTGGCAGAGGAAGAAATAATTTTTCATTTCGTGGTGGGCGTTATAATCGTCCAAATTTTAAAAGAACCACACAAAATGTTGATCATAAAGGAAAAGCTTCACAAGATCAGAATTCCATAAGTGTTGAAAATAAGTGCTTCCGATGCGGTATGACTGGGCATTGGGCACATATTTGTCGTACATCGAAACACTTAGTGGATCTTTATCAAGCTTCCTTGAAAGAAAAAGGAAATAATGTGGAAGCAAATCTTGCCTACCAGGATGGTAATATCTTTGACGCTGCCAATATTATAAGTTTGGATGTGGCTGACTTTCTTGAATCTCCTAGAGAACAAATTGGCACATTGAGCACAATGGATAAAATAGCAAGTGCTTCTTTTGATTTTGAGAATATTCAAAACTAATGTTTTTTTTATATCTTTTCTGTATGTTTTGTATTTCAACTTTTTTTTTCTTCTTCTTCCTTCTTCTTGTAATTATTTTGTTTAATGAAGAAGCATGGACAGTTTTCATATATTGGATGACTTGAAAATGAGCAATGGTGATCTATGTCTGGCAGACAGTGCAACTACGCACACAATACTGAAAAGTAGACAATATTTTTCTAAATTGACAATGCTGAAAGCAAAAGTCAATACTATATCAGGTTCTGCAAACTTGATTGAAGGTTTTGGAAAAGCAGACATAATTTTGCCTAGAGGAACAAAATTTACTATTGACAATGCATTGTTCTCTAGTCAATCAAAGAGAAAYCTACTGAGTTTTAAAGATATACGTTGCAATGGTTATCATATTGAGACTGATAACAAGAATAATATAGAATATCTCTATATTATATCTATTGTCTCACATAACAAACGTATATTTGAAAAGTTGTCTGCTTTATCTTCTGGATTATATTATACTCATATACGAGTAATGGAAACATATGCAA